TAGAATGGTTATAGACGATAGTTTATTCCCACACAAAAGCATCCACAAAGCTACATGGGTCCCACCGGATCATATCACAGAAAACCAGAGAGGAGCTGACATTGCTTTCGATCACCATGTGGATGCAGCCAAGATCAAACTAAAGCTAACGAAACACTGGACGGCTGAGGAAACGGAATTACAACGGTCTATTACAGACTTCCTTTGAAATACTGACAAACTCAACGAATTCAAGATAGCTTTCAGCAACAGATTCCAAACCTTACAAGACTTATTGAAAGAAAATGAAACTACTATGATGAACAACTGAAAAGAAGAACCAAAGAAACATTAACTTGAACGTGTCCGGAAGTGTTGGACTGTAACAACCATCATTATAAGAAATAGAAACCCTGGACAAGATTCAAGAAATCAAGAACAAGAAGACAGCAGTTAACAACAGCTGAACAAGAACAGAGAAATTTAAGGCACAAGCTGAAAACACGGAAATTAACGAGTAAGTGAAAAACAACATTAGGGTTAACAAACAGAAATACGTGGAAGAGCTAGCAACGACGGCGGAAAAGCTGCAAGGGAAGGAAATATGAGATAGCTATATGACACGACGAAAAAACTAGCGGAGAAATATAGTAAACCAGAGAGACCGACCAAGGACAAAGAAGGCAAGACAATCATCGGGATTCATGAACAACGGAACAGTTGGGTTGAATACTTTGAGGAACTCTTGAATAGACCAGTTCCATTGAGTCCATTGAAGCAGCACACACAGACCTTCCTATAAACGTAACTCCACCAACGACGGAAGCAATCAAGATTTTCAGCAGACAAAGCAATGGCGGGGAAGCAGCAGAACCGGGCAATATACCAGCTGAAGCTCTTTTAAGTCGGACATAGAAGCAACTGCGGACATGCTCCATGTTCTACAACCATCATCAAAAGGTACAAGCATTTATAAGTAGTTTTCTACGCAAGATACTCAATGTCCACTGACCGGATACCATCAGCAACAACCTACTGTGAGAAGGGGCGAACTAACTTCCAGCTAATGAGGAAAGCAGGAGAAGACATTGGAGGTGGATATGACATACATTGCGGAAATCACAAAACTACATCACGAGGTAAGCTCTGACCTGGAATTCTGAAGGGAAGAGGAAAAGAGGAAGGCCGAAGAACACGCTACGTCGGAAAATGGAAGCAGATATGAAAAGGATGAGTAGCAACTAGAAAGAACTGGAAAGGACTGTCCAGAACAGAGTTGGATGGAGAGTGCTGGTATGTGGCCCATGTTCCTCGACGAGGTGTAACACGCGTAAGTAAGCAAGTGTGTAATGGTTTTACTGTTACGGGTGAACTGGAAAGTTTTGGCTGAATAAAAACTTTTATACTGAATATTAATAATTTCACCGTTTTTGCATTCCTTTGTTCTGAACTTATTTGTTTGCATCCTTGTCTGTAGACATTTTTGGTTTCTCTTTGTCTTTGGTTTGGTTTGTGGAATGTTTTCTCCGGGGACCTTAAAACTGAAGGTTTGTTTTGTAATTGTTATAAATATTATTAGAACGACATTTGGGTCGATCATTTGTGACTTGCAAATAAACTTTAGTGTCTGAATTAGAGTTTGGTTCCATTATTATTTTTGGTTTTCAAGTTACAAGCAGGTCGACATACCGTGCTTCAATAACGGGAGGTGGCAAAAATTGGGATGTAACACATGCATTTCTCTTTTTTCTAAACAGCAGCAACAGGAGCGATTTGGAAGACTCTCCCAGTCTCCCGCATTGCACGAGCATTCCATGTACCTAAATAAATGGTTGCTCTGGTTGTCAGAAGGGGCACCGGCCCCGTGACTTCCGAAGGAACTCGGCTTTCATCATGAGGCGTCATAACTTCTAAATGGAGACCTCCTGACTCCCAGGGCAGGGTTTAAATGGTTCGAATGATTTTTTTCTGGTCAGCGTTTTTTGGCGGGTTAATTTTCTACGGTATGGTGTCGCTAACCCCGTGCTCAACCCTCCCCCATTATCCGGGCTTGAAACCGGCAGTAGCCTCCGGAGGGCTACATCTCGCGGGTGCTGGCACAATTTCAACATTCACTGATCTTTCTCATACTAGCCCCTCATTTGTGAACACCGGTTGGTTTTAGCTTTGTTTTATCTTCATAATTCTATATTTCCACACCACTCATTTTCTTTTCTATGACTTTTTAACCTTTGTTTACTATCAACTTTGCAACGACTGCATTACGAATAGAATATCTCCCAGGGGTTCTTAGGCTTCCACCTAATCAAACCAATCCTGCGCAGTACGATTACGGTATACAGCTGGAAACACGAGTTAAATGAATAAATGCTAGATAGCAATTACAGATATGCAATTAGAAAACAATGATTATTTATTCCATTAAACACGAGTATAGCCGGGATTTCGGTCCTCCTGGTTAGTTTCTGAATTCGTAAGGCAACTCAGATAAGATTCTCCTTAGATCCAACGTTTCCCAAACACCCCTGGACATCCTCTAGAAGGCTTGCTTACGCTCAGTTCCAGTACGAACTTAAGGGAGAACGCCAAAGTAGATATACGAGACAGAAAACGGAATTTTTTGCACACCTATTAAAGCTTTGGAATTCACTACCAACTGATATGGTTCATTCAAATTCCCAAGAATCTCTGAATAGGGTACTTCAAATATTCTCAAAAACTCGAAATAGTGTCTCATAATAATTTATTTAAAATTTTCTACTTGTCTCATATACATAGACATCAGTCAACCATTGCTAGAAGAAATAAAAGCTCATTAAATATGATCTTCTGTTTCTTCACTCAGTATATGAAGTATCGTTGCATATGAAAGGCAATCATGATTATCATTAGAGTAAACATAAAATTGTGCTCTTCACTATATTGAAATATCAGCCTCTTCGATTCACTATTAACCCTCATATTATTTGCCCATATCTGCTGGACATTCCTAAAAGAATGCAATTACACCTCATGTTAAGCCACTTCACACTGTCCACGCATCAGTTTTCCTGAAGATTACGGACAGAAAAGGGAAATAAAGTTGAACTTTCGGGATGATGTCTGAGAAACGTCCATGTGAATTTAAGTGACGATGTATCCAAATATCGCGTTTTTTCTAAGCCCGAGGTAAACAGTCGTATTTGTCCCAAAATTTCCTAGTGAATGAAAATATCTCGAGTGCAGCACTTTTACTTTCCACAAAATGCCTACTATCCATTAAAATTAACATCCATCGTTCTACGTTTCCCGAAAGCTAACAAAAATTCGTTTACTTTTCCCAGGAATTTAAATTGACTTGTCTAGGTTTCTCCATTCTTAACAATTGAAGTATTTAATTTTTAGCAAAACGTAACGTACCAGTATACTGTATATTTCGGAAGTTAGCCTTTAGTTCTCCAAACCAAGTAAATTATTTGCTCTTTCGACCATAAATAACATAATGGTTTAAGTGAGAACTATGTATTGCCAGTGTTTACACATACAGTTGTCAGTGCCATCTATATATAGGAAAAGGCCAGGCGTTCTCGTTGCAAATGAGTAAAAGTTGTCTTCAACTGTAATCTTTAGTAAAATAGTGAGAGGCTTACTAAAATAAATGAAGAAAGCTTCGTTCAAACGAGGTATTCATGGATATCAACGTTTACCCGCTACATCTAGTTGCTATCAACGTGGTGGTTTTAGCAAAAAATATTTACACTAAGGGTAATTTTCAAAATAATAGGGTTTTCGGTGTTAAGTAGAGTTTTCATTAATGGAGTTGTCAAGCAACAGCAATGAACGATTATAGATTTTTTTGTGACATAACTAATAAAAATTTGTAATCCAATATTCTGAAACCTGCAGTGATATAGCAAAGAGTAGGTGGCGATATCTAAAAACGAGAAGCAAGTGTTCACAGACAGAATCGTACTTACGTCTTTTCTTCAGTATGTCGGATAGTCCCCTGATAAATCGTTTAACACGATAATCTGTTATACATATTTCCAACAGTACCCTTATTTGTTTCGTACTCGCATACAACTCTACAGACTCCGCTGACAATTTTTTGTTTGCATTTATCCTTGATAATCTACGGGGCCTGATAAAAGTTCAAATGAAACTTATCAGAAATAGCGGTGTTACTGGGTATTGAAACTTACTGACGGCAGCGACTCTATTTCCGTTGAACCTATTCATGAACAGTTATATAGATAACAGGCTGAACTGAGAACTGGGGGAAGTTGAAGTTTCTAATCGCCTAAATTTAGGATATCCCACCGGGCTGTACTCAGCTTGCATTTCTGTTCACAGATTCGTACAAATAATCTGGCTGTCGTTTAATTACTTCTCTACAGAAAGTCAGGAGCGATAACCATTTTTCCTGATCTTTCTTTCTTACTAATAAGCCAATTGGTGGCTACAACGACGACCTTTCTGCTGGTAAAGGTATTAATAATTGAGGACTTTTCAGTTATAGGCTAAGACAAATTTATAAAGAAGTCGTCGATATTTTAATACGAAAAGTCTACGAATGCGATCGTTGCTTTCAAAAAATGCATGTAGCAAGGGGACCATGGCATCATGAGTAATGATGTTTACAGCCATACATTTGCATGATGCGTCACTAATGGTTATCAACATTTACACGTGGCTAACTACTGAACACATGAGCATACCTTTACCACTGGAAAGGAGTAGTTTCTTAAAAAGATAGGCGGCGGCAACGTAGGGAAGAAATTCAATTTTACCGTTTTCGCCTATCGCTGTATTAAGCCTAGGTTTCGCTGTGAGTGTAAAATCTTCACAGTTGATAATCTGAAGGACATCTCTTTTATGGCTGGAACAACTCAGCAAAATGTTGTATTGTGTTTGGAAGAATATAGCCAAATATTTAGACGCAAAGGCACTTGCAGTAAATTCAAGAACTTAAAAACCAAAGTATTATTTTTATCCAATGTAGTGGAGAATGCTGGTCAGTGGCCTGTGCTCCTCCACGAAGGATGACAAGTAAGTAGTGGATACATTTAATTTCACATGCTGAATCCATAAATATTTTCGTCTCAATAAGATCTAGGGACACGGAATAACTGAGGAGGAAAGGTTCAATTGACAATCATGGAAAATATATAGTAATAACTGAGGCGCTCCTTATGTCTTAAGCGCTGGATTTAAGTCTCGGGTGTGTATCTCGGGCGTGTTAGTAGATGTTAGTGATTGTAGGTAATCATGCAAAGCTCTTTTGATAGTATTGCATTCATTTTTGTAACCTTTTATTTACTTTTGGCTTCATTGTGTTCGAACTTCAAAAATATACACAGAAGCATAAAAGCGTAATGTATGCGAAATCATTACTAAACAGGTTATTTTCGGTAATAAGTACTAACCTTTGCATGGTCTGGTTATGTTTTCGACAATAAGTCAAGTATTTTCGAGTTTGGCTAGTGAATTCACCCTATGAATAGACCTCGTTTCTAAGTTTCAAATGTAATCTTTATTAGCTAACGTTTTTTGTTACTTAGTTCACCGTAATATCCTGTTGTAATTTCTCATATCGCTACTAAGAATAAGTTTGTGTGTTGCGTTCCTTACCGCACTATGGGGTTACTAGTGCCCCTTAAATGGGGGTTCGAGTTAGTTGGAACGTCGAAAACATCGAACTAAGCCACCACTTCACTAGACAAAACCTATCATATATTTTCCCGTGTATTCAGCTTTTAAAGCCAGAACAAAACCATATATTTTTGCAAGTTCAGCCTACAGAGATTTTTAAACCTCCGGCTGGCTTAATTTTGTCATATTTAGGTCCCATCAAACTGTTGGCTTCTCTTAGTGTCCAGGTAAATGTTATGGGGAGTACATTTATATCCGATGGTGTCAGTGGACAAAACTTCGTGTCAGGGGGTAAGGTATAAGCTTTTGAAGCGGCTAGTTACAAAAGTGTTGTTCTATTTCATTTTACCGTTGAGTCTAAGGTAACTTACAAAGTCATCTGTTCTAAAAGATAAGTAGACTCACTAAACCTACTTCGATTTATATATCCAGGCAATGTATGGAGTAGTAGCTAGAGCTTTTGGCTTCCACTTGCGAAGTCCCAGATTCAAACCCTCGGTTTTGATAATCGTGTAGTATCACTAACCTCCACAACTCCAGTTTGACTCATACCCACACACCTAGTAAATAAAGCAACTCCATCTTCGTAATGTCATTAATCTTAATGATCCAAACTAAAGTACATTCATCTCCACTTGGTAATTAAGTCACAATATTGCACTAGAAAGTTCGTGAGTTGTTATACCTGTACATTTCGCTGCATGATAAATATACTTGACAAGTTACAATAGTATATTTCTACGCAACCTTATATACGTGAATTTTTATTTTCATTTTGTCATGTTCCAAATAAATAAAGGATTCTGACAAAATGACTAACTAGCCGGCTTCCGGGATTTGATTATCGATCAACAGCCATACTTATTACCAGGTTAGATGTTACTTTACTGACGGTTCTCTGGTTTTCCACACATAGCACTTCTATATGGACCATCCCAATCCTTGTCTATGTATGTTGATAATAGCACGAAGTACTGAAATGCTAGCTAAAATAGCCCTCAGATTTTCCCATTAGTTTTCTAGTTGTCTGGCTTTAGTTGATCATTGACTTGCTTTCTAACGATTTTTTCTACACCCAATGTTTTCTTCAGACTACTTTCTTCGGGTTTAACAAGTTAATCCCCACTATTCCTTGATATTCTATTTTCAAATTCCTTCGCCACTAACTTATTGTAACTGTGAACCCATAGATTTGTATAAAGCATGTTAATTGGGTGGTATAGATTTTAATAGGTTAATTTGTATTGTTTTCTTAAATGAAAAGCTCAGATCTCTAATAAATGCTGATTTTCGGGCCAACATTTAACTCCCATTACGTTGTCAGTCAGTCAGTCAGTAACAACGTAGACCTTTGTACGTACGTACATCAGCTCAAGTTTCCATACCGCATTAGCACAGATATGCAGTTGTCGATTCAAATCCCGTAGTGGTAGAGGTAGTAAGAGTATAAGCAGTAATCGGAAAGATTAGGGCTTGAAGATGTTATTCAAGGAGTGTAATCTAATGAAATAAATTTGGAAAGAGAAGAATAAAAACATGAAGAATTCAGAAGATTAGAATTTGGGAGAACACAAAGAGTGGACTCACCTGCGCCACTGCAAACGATTTAGAGCCATATCATTCAAGGTCTCTAACCATCGGTTGCTATCATCTCGCGAATCGCAACCACGTAGTCTACACCTACCAACATGGCTCAGTCCACTTGTCAGTGACTTCATGGATTTGTGCCATGTTTTGGTCTGGCCGCCCCATAGCGTGGACACAGGAATATTTCACCTTTGAATTCCAATAATAGATAAATTATTTCCACCATAGCAACTAACTTTGTGATGAACGCAATGATTGATGTAAATCAATTTTCTGTATTCATATCAACCTTATCAAGCATTCTGCTTTCTGAAACCTGCAATTTTTTTAATTTTAGGCTTTATATGAAGTATTTCACCATGAGGAAGCTTTTGCAGCTTTTCTCCTTCCAACGAAACCAAATCTTTTATAAGCATGCAAACTATTCGGTACGTGGACAAGATTCAAATTTTATTCGGCTTCACGGTATTGATGTGGTCCGGGATCCGAGAACAAATCGAGTGAGTGTTCCTTGCATATATTGAATTCTTCGTCGATAACTTTTTAGCAGTACTAGTAAAAAGTACACTATTAATGACTTTGTTTCAGGGAACTGCATTCACTCTTAATGAGCGACAATTACTCGGTATACATGGGCTACTCCCACCTTCTGTATTAACTCTGGACCAACAGGTCTCAAAAATGATGGCCAATCTAAAGAATATGAACGATAATTTGCAGCGCTACGTTTATCTTACTTCATTACAAGACCGAAACGAGGCTTTATTTTATAAGGTACGTTTAAGTTCCCATTTCTAGAGTTGTTACCTTAATTTATTGTCAATTAAATTTTTGTAGTATATTCAAAAAATGGTGTGCTCTTATGATGGGTAGGTACTGCTGATGGTTTGTCAATCTAGGTTTCGACATATCACATCTAAGAGTAACTTACGTTAACTGAATTCAAGGAAAGCGGATTCATACTAAAAGCGCAACGTGTAACTATTATTACTCCAACTGATAATCATAAACCACTTACCTTTCTTATAATTACGTCAGTTGTACTGTCAGAAATCAACTTTGTTCCCCAGTCAGACGTCTCTAATTGGACGCAATATCTGCTTTGAATACCAGATCCTAATGGTGGTTGCTTAGGAGCATGTGACAGCTTTATATCGTCATTAATCTTCCTTTGTTTTTTTGACAACACTAACGAGCAGCATAGCCTCATTCGTCAATCCGCATGTTTAGGCAGCATTATTGACAAGTTCATAGCCAACCTTTCTGGAAATACCTTTTGTTACCAATCCGTGTGTGATTTATGAAATGTACTAGTATCATTTGTATCCATTATGTTTCGTTCAATTGTTTACTGAGAACCGATAGTCCAGTCTTTGACACTTATCTTTAGCAATCCAAGATACCATTTTCCGATCAAATCAATGGTGAATTATGGGCACAGAGCTAAATGATTGCTTATTAAGGAAACATACCACTATGAGGTCGTGCATTGTGTGTACCACTGCATTCTTCTATCTCTGGCTACAAATTTAATATATTTTTTCCAATCGCTGTTCCTATTTCAGCTTGTTATTGAGCATGTGGAATATTGTATGCCGTTGATATATACACCAACTGTTGGTTTGGCTTGTCAACGCTATGGTGTAGTATTTCGACGACCTCGGTAAGAACTCTAATTTAATTCGTATCTTTCTACATGTTAGCAGTTAAGCCAGTTTTTTGAATCACTTTCTATCCAACTTGATTTAGCCTTGATGTGTTCAAATCCACTCACAATCCTAACGTAGCCAAAGTATAATTTAATATCATTTGTTCAAAGTTTTATGATTTCATGAAGGCCAGTTCTAAATTTAGGGAAACTAATTAGTATGAAAGCTTAAAGTAATTTCAACCAGGAGGAAAATTTACCAACAGTTGTGCCGGGGTATAACAGGAGTTATTTAATTTTCATGAATAACAGACATTCTTGTTAATACTCTTGCTGAAAAGAGGAAATAAAGACTTAGCATCTAAAAAATGACACATCTCTGTTTCTCTGTGGACAGTAAACTTTTATGCTTCTAATGAAATCATATTTAACTGGTGCCTTTTCAGATAGTCGTAGTTTTAAGTGTTCAATTTATCAGTACTAGATACCGTTTCCTCAAAATTCCTCACACGTTAATCGTAAGTAAGCAAATCAAAATCATCATCTGTATTTTGTAGTTATAGTAAATAGGTTGGGATTACATTTATCGTAATGTATTCTACGAATCGTTTATACATCGTTTCGTGACTACGTATGCCAACTGAAAATCTTAAGATAGAAGGCAGCGTGTTAACGTTTTAGTGGACTGGTATGTGTGTTCGTATTTTGATTGTGATTCATACTGAGTGCTCAAATTATTTATTTTATTTAGAAGCATCCTTATAAACGTTCATTTATTTGTAGATTAAGATAGTAATTCATAGTTGTGTGAAACGATTGCCATTTTTGATCTTTTTAAATCAATGCATACTATATAGATAATTATATTGTGAATTCCTCTGAGCTCTCAACATCCAGTAATTTTTTTAATTTTTAGTATTGAATTTGCAGTACAGTACCACATCCAATGGGAAAATTATAATTCAGGTCTTATATTCCTCAGCGAAAGAGGATTTTCCATTGTTTTTAGTTTTAAACCATGATGTAGTTCGTGGGGTTTTTTCAAACTTGTTTATACGTTATTCAAAATTGTGCTTTACGATTTACCTAATTATTGTATCTTTTGTCAAATTCCCCTTCATTGATCAGTTACCTTCTTATTCCCCGTTAGAGGTCTATACATAACAGTACACGATCGACATCATATACCCGCGATTCTAAATAACTGGCCTGAACCGATCGTAAAGGTAAGGTATTTACGTATTCTTTGGTAAATTCTGTTTATTTTCATAACATTTGGTGACATTTCAAACAATATTCAGGAAGACTTGTCCATAGTATCCCGTTCCGTCTAAGTCACAATTGGTTGATAAAATTAAAAGCTTTTGCTCTTTTGTAGTTCTGATGAGACAGTCTGTTTGACAACAGGTATTGAAAACTTATGTTGACAGACGAACAACGAGTTACAACTAGGCGGTTCAGCAATCACGTGTTCATTGTCAAATTTTAAAGTCTTAAGTGGTAGACTTCTCCATTATGTTCAGGCTCCCAGTATTTATCCAATTTATTTGGCTTTGTAACGTAAAATAATAAAATTCAAGACCATAAACTTGTCCATGAGGTTATTTAAATAGCAGAATAAATAGTCTTTTTAACATACCTATATAATCCACCGACGATACTTTGAAATTTAGTTTAATGTTGGCGAATGGTGACACACTGATCATTTATATTTTTTGTCGATAATAGATCAAAAGCTGGAACTAAAACCCATGTCCAAAAAGCACTCGATCAAATAGTGGATGATGTCCTTCAGTTTTACCGAATTGATTGCGCTAATGTCACCTGACTATTCCAAAAAGGCCTTTGACAAAGTATGTGACGAACATTACAATATAAATCTTTTACTAGTTACATTCAAAATATCGGCTCCCGACACTACACAGAATTCGCTGACAATTAATCTAATAGGTTTCATTCATTCAGTGTTGAACTGACCACATTTTCCTTCTCTACCTGATCTTCGATCACTGTCACACGTATTCCAAACCAAACACATTTCCAGTCCTCTCTTTGATTTTCTTGTTGTTTACTAGAGATTGTATATCTACCTCACTTCAATGTTTCAGCCAGTATAAGATGCATTAAACAGGGTTACCTAATCTCATCATTTCTCCTCAACTTGGTCACCTATAAAATTCTGGATACCTAAAACTATATTGGGGATAAGAATAGAAATCTGTCTTATGGGATGTGGACAAAATAGTCCCATTTCGCTTTGATAAAAACATAAATTGAACCTTATCACTTGAGGACAAGCGTTCGCATGTTTATTTTGTGCTCCGCATCAGTAAATTTTATGAGATTTTTTACAAAAATGATATAAATCTGCTTGCACTCACCTTTCTAGTTAATAATTTCTATTGACTGTGAATTAAAAGCATTTGAATAGTTCCAAAATGCGAAATCAATCTTCCTATGTCTAAAACATAACAATGTAGTTTTAGCTGGGTCACTCATTAGTCTGACTGGAAAGTTTGGAGAAAACTCTGACGAAACTAGTTTATTGCACGGTTGTAAAGTCTAATGTTTATGTACTAATAGATCCCTGATTTCAGTTAGGATTACTCGCACTTGTCGATATCAGGTAAGTTATCCTAGTGAAATATTGACTTCACTGGATTGGATATCGTTTATCTGCCAATTCTTAGTGATTTCTGTACCGAGCACTGTTCGCTGATAGAACCGGTTCAAAAAAGTAAAGGTGCGACGCGTTTGTGACATGGCGCAGTGAAATAAGAGACAACCAGATTGAGTCATTGTGTTAGGTCATCACTACACCGCTTACAAAACCATATATTAGTATCGAAGGTACTCTATTCGAATCAAATCTTGTGTCGAGTTTCTGTAGAAAATATATCCCATCTTCAAATCCAATAACATATTTAAAACCCCATATCATATGAAAACGCAGAAAATATACGATTTAAACTGTTACACATGATCAGTGTGAAGTTTTTTATGATGGTTAACTCTCAGTAAAATAGTCTGGTAAATGTAAAACGAAGTATTGAAAATTAGTTGTCAGATAGTTATTCTTTTATCACCATTAGCGATCGTTATGCGCCACTAAATACGTGGCCCGATTGTTTATTTACTAGATTTTAAGTTTGAATCACTGTACATCCGGTGTTGTTAAAACAGCTGGATGTTGCCATTGACAGAAAAAGTATTATTATTACTACTACTACCACCAAAAAATCTGATTATCAGATTATTTGGAACAGTAGAGCACTAAGAAACGCATTATATACCATCTGTAGACTGATTAAACTGAATTGATTGTTCACTGTACTTGATTTTCAATGCTTTGTTGATGAGGATTAGGAGATAATCCGAAATCACTGAATTTAAGTTTCACGTAAAATCTTCTCGTCTATTTGCAGTTTATACATTCTCACTGATAATCCCAAACCTTGTTTTCTATAAGTTATCACTGCTAAAATATTCAGTTTGTCATCTATTTTTTGCTCAAAGTTAGTCTAAAAATGTCTCCATCCAAGACTCGTAATTATCAGAACCCGATTCTAGAGCCTCCTTATGAATTTCTTTCATGTTTATAGTATGGTAGACATTTGTTATCTCGTACTTTTAAAGTTTTAGTTATTGATGTAGTACCTTATAATAGTCATTATAATCGATACTAAATGTTATGATGTGCATTTAAATGTACTTTTTTACTGAAATTCACTTTTCCAAGGCTATCGTATTTACTGATGGTGAGCGTATTCTTGGTTTGGGTGATTTGGGAGCATATGGTATGGGAATACCCATTGGAAAACTGTCGTTATACACAGCACTGGCTGGTGTCCATCCGAAGCATTGTTTACCAATCCTTTTAGATGTCGGAACAGATAATCAAGAATTACTGAATGTAAGTTTAGGTTGCTAATTGGGACAACTAGTTTTTTGTTCGTCAGCTGATAGACTGATAACTCGATGATGATGTTTTCTAGTGCAAATTAGTCTTACTTCAATAGGCAGAGTAGGATCAAAATTACGACTAACAAGATGCTTGACGTGTGGATTTCTTGAACAGCTTGATCTTGAGTCGACAAAGTCGTAATTCATTTGTTGTGTCTAAATAGCGAATTGAGGTGTCTATATAAATGATGTCTTCTCATATGGGTATTGTTACTACTTGCTAAATATGTGACACACATGCCTTCTTCTTGAAAAAATATGTGGACGATTTTCAATCAGTGAATTGTTAGGCAGAAAAGTCGTCACTTTTGCTTACACCTAGGTAGTGTGTTTATGAATGACACTTCAAAATGTAGCAGTCACTGATCAATTCCCAGTTAACTGTTGCAAAATAATCTTCATATAGAATAGAATTGTTAGGTTGTTGGAGTCAGTCAACCTACCTTTCGTACCAGTCCCCTCTTTTCAGTAAAGGTAAACCGCAATCTCATGGAATTTGAACCCCATCACTATTGAAGAACTTACTACTAGGTTATTTTATAGGACTGATTTGTTAACATGAGTTGGTTATTATGCTGCTTGAATTCTATTGATCAAAAGACTAATATTTGAACGAAGAATATTCTTTTCGATAAATTCTCTTCAGGTTCTACAATTATCTCATATCCAAATTATTAATCCGAAAAATGGCCAAGTTAAGGGTAAAGTACATCGTTTAGAGCATGTGAATTTAGGATTGTGATAAACAAAATACAATAAAATTGTTAATGTTAATATGACTCATATAAAATGTTAACTTGAATCTGCGTATATGCTAAATGAAAATTTTAAGATCCATGATCAGAATAAATATGGGTTATTATATTGTGACTCGACATTATGAAGCATTTCATTGGTTGTCATTTGGTTAAATGACCACGTCTTTTCGTCGTTCACTTTTAATCGCCTAACATCAAACAAAGCTCATCGTAATACTAAGAAATGCAGCCTAATGGCCGCATTTCAGTCGGTATCAAGAAATAGACAACACTACTTAAGGTACTGTTATTTAATCAGTTAATGAAAACCGTATTATTTATATCATAAACCATATACAGTTATTACTAGTGGTTGTGTTTTCGTATATATCTGTATCTATCAATCTCGTGAGTATCTTGGAGGTCTCTCACAATGTATTAGGTTACTATTGTTCTTTATTTAGCTATTTACCGAAATTATTAATTTTCACTAAATCGTTTTTTACTGTGTTTATTGTTTTTCATCTCTATGCAATTAGTAGGTCAAACTCAATAGTTTTACGGTAATAACGGTCAAGTACTATTTTTTGCAAAATAGATTAATATGGTGAATCAGTTATAAAATCAATTGTGTATTATTTATATAATTTTTTTTATATATGCTAATTAATTTTAGATTCTACTGTCAATCAGATAAATTGTAGGGAAAAAGTTAACTATCATCCTTTGATCATTAATACTGAACAATATATATTCAGCCATCATTATTTATTTATTTAAACACATAAAAATGGGTACAAGGAGGCACCAGACAGATATGCACCACACAAATCACTCGATTTATGTGAGGGCTGAGGTACTGCCCGGGTGCCCAAACCGAAGCAGATGGTTTTCTTAAGGGGACCACCCCCCGAGCCTATGACCAAAAAGTCTAATCCACAAGGCGGTGAAGCAACGTTAGGAGATGCAGTCCCATGGTAGTCGGTGACCAACAATATGCTAATACGCCATTTGTTCCCTCAGGATCCTGGAGCCCATGTGTACCATTGGTTTAGAATCAGGGTTTTCCAATTCCCCTAGGTGGAACCTCCGCGTCCACCAACCCGGTTAAAATGTCGGACATTCGCTTTTTGTCCTCTTAACTTCGTAAACAACCCACCCACCGCGATAAGGCAATGGCTGTATACACGTGACCACTTAAGAGCATTTCGAGAGGGAGAGCTGACTCTTTCTACCCTCGGCCGTGCCAGGGCATTTGGGGGCCCACCATACCAATAGATGAGTAACATTTTTGTTACCTGGATAGTTTGAAGAGATTAGACTGATTTAAAAGTTATTTTCATGTGATAGCATCAGCTGAAAAACTATTGCAAATTAAAGAACATTGGTCAGTTATTCTGGTTTGTTTTCTGTCTCCCTCAGCAGTATGCACTCATAACCCGTAAGATGAATGGGACCTAGAACAGTCAATTCTTGCGAACGCGTAATCGTTAAGTCATTGAACATCTGGGCTACCTGTTCCTGTCATTTAGATATTTCAACAAGTTATCTATTTTTTGTTTTAATGCATCATTATATCTATTAATCGCATAACCTATTCAGGTGCGTTTCTGAAAAGTGTACAACCTTTCGTTGTACAAGTTACAAAAGGCCCAATCAAAGGTATCTTGGTTGCTAGCAATATGCGGCGAAATGAATGTACATTATTTCGATATCGATTTACTGGGCTGCTGTAATTCAACTGGCGATCACTCAATATTTATCGTTAGTATCAACCAAGAAGTGAGAAACGGAAACTTGTTGAAATACTTTGTGCTGAGAATTCTATATCATACCAAAAATATAATAATGAATAAAGCTAATAATAATTATTATTATTGTTATCCAGTTGTCCACTGTTATTATGAAGACTATTCAGATTTCCAAAAATATTGTGATATGTGTGTAGGAGGCATATTAATGACATTTGATTTTCGTTACATTCTTTATTCTCCAATACTTTTCTACATATTTCTTGATCAATAAATCTGTTTTATGTCAAGTAACAATACCACTAAATTGATAAAATTACATAATCTGCCTACTATTATTACTGAAATCTGTTTGCATTACTGTTGTTAGTTACATATCACCTTCAATTACTTCTTCTTCTGTAGGATCCTGTATATACGGGCATCAGACATAAGCGTATACGCGATGAACGCTATGATGAGTTAATCGAAAATTTCATGCAAGCTGTTACAGAACGGTGAGGTTCATAAAAAATATTGTAATAATGTCATATCCATTGTGGTTCTACAGTTTTTTGAGTTGTAGATATATTTTATATTAAATGCATTGCCTCAATAATTGCCTACTATTTCATGTATTATCAGCTACGGGAACCATTGTTTAGTTCAATTTGAAGATTTTGGAAATCATAATGCATTTCGTTTACTTGAACGATATCAAGATTCGTACTGCACTTTTAATGATGATATACAAGGTAAGTTAGTAAATTTTCTTTGAAAAATTGATGTTCTTTAGTAAGAAATCTTGTCTTCATACTGTCTAAAAATTGTTATACATATTTATATATCAATGTGAATGCCCTGGTACAATTGAAGGTAGAAAAAGTCAGCTCTCCCTCTCGAAATGCTCTTAAGTGGTCACGTGTATACAGCCATTGCCTTATCGCGGTGGGTGGGTTGTTTACGAAGTTAAGAGGACAAAAAGCGAATGTCCGACATTTTAACCGGGTTGGTGGACACGGAGGTTCCACCTAGGGGAATTGGAAAACCCTGATTCTAAACCAATGGTACACATGGGCTCCAGGATCCTGAGGGAACAAATGGCGTATTAGCATATTGTTGGTCACCGACTACCATGGGACTGCATCTCCTAACGTTGCTTCACCGCCTTGTGGATTAGACTTTTTGGTCATAGGCTCGGGGGGTGGTCCCCTTAAGAAAACCATCTGCTTCGGTTTGGGCACCCGGGCAGTACCTCAGCCCTCACATAAATCGAGTGATTTGTGTGGCGCATATCTGTCTGGTGCCTCTTTGTACCTATTTTTGTGTTCAGATGAATAAAAATGAACAAAACTACTTGCAGCCAAAACTAGGTAGGACCTGCTTTATACTTTGTTCATATTTTCTAGTGATTATATTTTATTGGTATATTTAGTATGTTTAATCAACTTAAGGCAGTGTTATTTTGTGAGCTTTAGAAACCATGTTCGCTGCTATAGACTCCCACTCGGTATTTTTCGAGTTTTCATAACCTCGGCGCTCACTTTTAACATATATTGAGTGTTCTTTCTTTTTACTCAAATATCCAATTTACAAATTTAATCCTGATTAACTTTTTGTTTAGTTTCTCGACTTTGAGCGTTTCTATATACTGACATCATTAAACCACTGGGATTATTATTTTTCAACATATGCATACAGAAATGATCTGAAAATTAAACTTTCTGTTTATCAGTGTAAGATAAATTAGTATTTCAATTATACTTTCGAAATATATTAGTCCTTTAAGTATTTCAGTGATATTCGAATAACAGTCATCGAAATATGCTTAAATTTTGCATATTTTTCATGTTGCTTGCGACGTTCAGGTACGGCAGCTGTAGCGGTAGCCGGCTTACTGGCTGCCGGTCGTATTACAAAGCGTAAGCTTACAGATAATATATATCTTTTCGTCGGCGCTGGTGAAGTAAGTATGAATCTTTTTTATCTTTCCCATGTGTTGAGTAATCACAATAGTATATCAACTACCGTCTGTTGAATATATACATATATATATATTCAATGTTTTAAAATTTCGATATTTGGTTACCAAGATAGATTATTTGTTTTACAAGTATTATTTCTCAATATAAGCCGTTATTACGTAGTCTCTTTTCCGTAGCATTATTGTCTTGTGCTTTTCCTCCCGTCGAATGTTTAAACAAAATGATAAGAAAGTCAGATTATCGTCTTTTTTTAAGCATTAAGTATCTCATCATCAGTGTACATCAATTAGCATTTCAATGAATTTTCCACTTTTAATTTTAGATCACGGAATTTACTCATTTAAATGACTAATGACAACCAGTGAAACTACCAGTTTGATTCTCAGTTTTCAGTCATTGTCTAAATAAAGTCAGTTCGTGATGTAAAACTACAAGATTCACCAATCTTCACAACGTCCTGTGCTAATAGGATTTTATGCTATCCTTACAAACTGACATCCTGTCAAAATTAGCCTAATGATAAAACAGCTTGGTTTTTTTCTATAGATTGAATTTCAAGCCTTTTATATATTCATAGCATGGTAAACCCGTATATCATATTGTTTTTAAAAACATTGACTTCGTTATAGGTATCTTAAAGTTCAACTTATGTACATGATAAAGATACTAACTAATAAAACATACGATGTATCATATCCTGTTAAAATTAAGTATGATTTTGCAAATATCTATTTTAATATTAATGAATGACTTTTTAAGTGTGATAATTTCATTGTCAGGTTATGTTAGTTTTAAACTCACCAATTATGGTAGTATTTTCACTCAAATACTAAAACTTTGGAAAAACATGTGTATATAGATTATAGCGTAGCTTCTTAGCTTATATACTTGCTAAATGGATAATCAAAATACTGAAATATTCATAAAGATTGACTGTCGTGAAATGCACACAGTGGAAATTTTAACAAGTAAATGGTCCATTACATGAATCTTTAAGGATACCAGAATTCTGTCCATTTATTCTGCTGTATTGACTTGATAGTTAATTCAGTTGATCTTCAACCACTGAACTATAAGTTCAATCCTTGTCCCACCTAATTCTGATCAGGCAACAATTTTCTTGTCACCAGTAGTAGGATATGTTGTCGTTCGTGAGACACACGACAGGAGTTTATGATTTCTGAAGAATTCGCTAGTCTTATTCGAGTGAAATATACAAACAAACAAGTTTATAGTCTATGTCATTTAATTATCCATATAATATTCTTTTCCATTAGCTTCTAGTTAATGAAACATAAATTGTTATATTGATTAATGTTTTCTCTATCTACAACCCTTAGTAAATATGTGCACACATTTCTATTACCTCATGTAAATATTCAAAAACAAAGAACATATGAGCGAACAATGGTTCCCAATAACTTAGTCATTAAGCTCTATAGTTATTAATCCGTAATTATTGTATTAAAATGAACAAAATAAGGCGTACATAAATAGTATATAGCATTATCTAGTTCATTTCTTCATGTTTTCTTTGATTTGTTCATTGTAACACAATAATTACGGATTTATAACCATAGAGCCTGATGACCAAGATATTGGAAACAATTATTCGCTTAAATATTCCTGTGAATATGTTTCACAGAATGTTATAGGTAATTCATCTTTTTTAGGTCATTTTATTACGAGTTGTAATTTCTCGATCGATTTCGGTTACAAAACAGACCCCTTATCGTTGTTTAAACAGTATCATGTAAAATAATCTATTATGTACCTCTCAATTTATCTATTTTCTTATAAAATAGGCAGCAACCGGTATTGCTCAGTTACTGGCAACATCATTACAACTAAACGGATTGGATGAGAAAGAGTCCCTGAGTAAAATGTATATGTTCGATAAAGACGGATTATTAACACATGTAAATCTCCTTGTTTCTGTTATTCCTACTGTTGTTAAAGGTTTCGCCCTTTTTATTTTGGTTATTTTATCATATTGGTCTATTCAAGTCCACATTACGGATATTTGTTCATCAATTCAACTTCTTTATTCGAGTATGTGTAAAAATAAATACAGTAAGAAAGTCAGATTCCTATCACAGTTTCGTACCACAAACGCCCTAGTTATGCACATATTGCGTTATTATTATTTGTTATGATCTTGTATTTGATGTATATAATCACATCAGTTTTTTTAATCTGAATAATACATGACGACGCGTGATACTTGTCTAGGTATCCTGGTTTTCTGATCAGGGCTTGGGTGTGAATGAGACTGTTACGCCAGCTATCGGTCGTTTTAGCGCATACAGTGACTGCTTGTGGGGGTAGGCGAAAGTCATAAGGCCCACAGAAACATCTATAACAAGAGCTCTCTTCTTAAGTCACATTGCCATCATTGCTTTCGTATCATAATCTACAAATATTTTGCAGTAACCATAATAGAGATTGTGTCATGTTAAAATATCATCTTAAATAATTCGAACAATAATTTGCCTTTGCGTGATGATGAATTTTCAATTATCACTACTGTTTAAGCACTAATGAGATTATGAACTTTACTCTAGACTAGGGAGAAATTGCTACTGAACCTGTTGAGTCACTCTCTAATATCCTATATATTTCATTTAATACTTGGGTCAATTATCACACTAAAAAAGAAACAACTCTTTCAGTTTCTCCTAATTAGCGCTGTCCCAAGTAAGTAAATCTCCGTGTTCACGTCTATTATTCGTCAGATAAAGAATACGTACCTTGTCTCCCGTAATCTTTTGCATCACTCATCACTGTTATATAGTGTACGAAATCTTTTTTCATTGTGTAATCTTACACTTCTCACGTACGATTCCTGTAGTTTTTATTAAACAGTTTAGTAAAACTTCATGCTCTTTTTACTTTTCGATCCTAAATGAAGTTAGGATTTAAAAAGTTCAACTCTTATCTATTTATCAACAGAAAATTTTCTATTATAGTCTTTTTGAATAGTGAATATATCCCTCACTATAATTACTTGTATGCTAACTCGAGTTAATCCATATTTGTTCCAGGTTATGCGTTTATCACGACTGACCAACTGATTTTTATTTTGGTTATAATCTTCTCTATGTAATATTTACACATATTCGTCAGTTTTTATTAAGAACACTAAGTTCCAAGGACTTACAATAAGAAAATAAGTCTTCTGTGACTTGGATTTAAAAGTCACTAATCAGTTACCACATCTGAAAGAATAGGAAAAAAGGCGCTTAATTATTCCCTACAAATAAAAAAAAATTTTTTCCTTAACATTACAATTTTTGAACCTCGTAGATAATAATTTTTTGTTGCTTTGACTTCCATAATATCCAGTCACGCCAAGAAGGTTCACTGACAGATCATAATAAAGTTTTTGCGCGTGACGACACAGAAAATATATGTAAACTGGAAGATGCAGTGAAATTACTAAAGCCAACAGTTATTATTGGTATGTTATTTCTTCTGATTTATTGTCTTTAATGGATTTCTTATGTTCTTATATATATGTCGACTAAAGCTATTTTAATATTTTAATCTGATTCTCCTGAGTACCTCACAGACACCTGTTTGTGTATGTCTGGGACTCAGTTGTTATGATTTTCGGTCTCTAGATTGCTCCTACTCGGGACTCTGTTTCACCAACCTTCAAACTCAATGTGTAGCCCGCTATATCACTTGCACATTGTGATAACCAAGTAATTATTGTTGACTTTAGTTTCATCGTTAACTTTTCTTTGGATTCGTCTAATCGACAAAGTAAACAAACTGGTGGAATGATGAAACTTAACACGTGTTTTCTGAATATTCTCAGTCCTAAATTCCTAACTGTATATAAATCCACCACTTTATGTGCTCTGTCCATTAGACCATTGTTTCATTTGTTTATTTTTGTATTTGTAGTGTACTGTTTACATTTAAATTAATAAACATTACATTAACCATATTATAAGGTAAACTTTATGATGAAATTATAACAGTGATATAAAACCCAGCTAAACATAGTTTTGTATGCCAAGTTGTATACTGTATGCTTAACACTTTCTTATGGGTAACAAACTGTTCAGAATATCGACACTACACTTGTAAAATACTTACATGGAACTGTCAACGTAAGCTATTTATACGTTATCATGATATAAATGGGTCTCAAAAGTTTCTCGCCATTGGCATATTTATTTAACAAGGCAGGCTTGATAGTCATTATTTAATGGTTTCCATAGCCTAATGAAAAGTGTTAAGTATGGAGGTTCAGGTGGTTGTCATTTGTTTTCATTTAGTAGAATTATTATTGGGAATTGTTTGCGTGTGTTAGTTTCTTTTAATAAATATCTAATTTACACACCCTCATGTTAATTATAGTTTTGGAGGAAATATACAATTCGGATGGGTTTTGTGGATATTATAGTAATTTCAATGGTTAAGATCATGAGTTAGTTGAAGCTAGACCACCATGGAAAACCTGGAATCACTGGACGGCCGTCTCGTCCTACTTTGGGACTCCTCAACAGTGCGCATCCACGACCTCGCCCCCTGCGATAATCGAACCCCCGACCTACTCGTTTCGCGTGCGAGCACTTAACCACTAGACCACTGATCCGGCATCCAACGGTGTTAATGTCTAACTTCAACTACAATTGATCAATTAAAATACTTTTTGTGACATCAAAAGAATCTAGATATCATTATCAAGGTTTGGGTTGATAATTTTAAATAAATAAAGCATCAGGTAGATTGTTAGTTGTGAAAATAATGGCATTTCTAATATTTAAATGAGTATAAAATAAAATTCCTGATTTTCCGTGACTCAGCGTAAGCCACTTTTCAGAGAATAAATTAATTTATTCATTAACCTGAGTCTAAATAATACGAAGGAACAAAGCGGAAATATCTAGTACAACCAATTAAAAACAGCGGACCAAGCTATTGTCATGTCACTCCGGTCAGGGTGATTTCCGTGTGACATGTTTGTGTATTTGTGTATGTTAATGAAGATCACTTACTAAGATCTCGTTTCTTCGATATCTTGATAAGGTATTCTTCTTTTCAGTCTGTTGGTACTTGTTCTTCCTCTACAATCCTCCTGAAGAGAATGTGGAACAACTTTGCAGTTTTCTTGATATCTGACTTCAGTGCTTCAGCTGATATGTTTTCTGGTCCAGCTGCTTTCTCACTCTTGATTTGTCTAGTGAATATCCTGATTTCTTCGATTGCTGGTGGTGTAATATCTATAAGGAGGTCTGTGTGTATTGCTTCGATGTTTTGTGAGTTCAGTGGAACTGACCTATTGGAGGGCTTTTCAAAGTGTTCTACCCACTTGCTCCCCTGATTTTGAACCACAGCTATTGGTTTTCCTTCTCTGTTCCTGACTAGTTGCTATGTTCCACCATATTACCCTACAAGCTTCTTGTTTGTATTATACAATTCTTTTATACATCCACCTCTCAAATTTCTCTGCCGTAGTCACCAGGTTTTCGACACATTTCCGCTTGTTTGCTTCTGTACATTCAGTTTGTAGCTTGATTTCCCCTACTTTTGTTTGGATGTTGTTGAATGTGATTTTCTCGTTTTATCTTCCTCGAATCTTGCTCATGATATCTATGGGGATTTATTCTTGATCCTGGTGCTTCTTGCAGTCCAGCACCTGGATTGTTGAAGTTGTCTGTTGTTTAATTCCTCTCCAGTCGTTCTCCACGTCAGTTTCCTCTTCTTTCGGTAGATCTCGTAAGGCTTGGAATTTTTATGATGTTGCTCGCTCAATCGTCTGATGCTTTATTAACTCCAGTTTCATCCTGACCATCAGCAGGTGGTGATCTGAATCTGCGTCAACTCCTGTCTTTGTTTGCACGTCTTCCATTGACCTTCTGAATTTTTTATTGATGCCAGTATGATCAGTCTGATTCTGTGCAGTGTGGTCCGGTTCAACTCATGTAGCTTTGTGTATGGGTTCGTGCGGCAATATAGTCTAGAATTTACCAAAAGTTTTTTTCAGTTTTCTTAAGTATTTTTCAGATAATCATGTTTTATCAACTCGATATGGTTGAGTAAAGTTTCTCCTGTATAGTGCGACAATAAATTAATTGATAATTTGTTTGATGTCTACAAGCTAATTTGTAAGTTTTTTTAACGCTGGAGGTTTTTGTTTCTATCCAGTACTAGTCACCAAAACTTAGGTATGCGAATTTTAGTTTTAGAAATCCTTTATTCGTACCGTCTATCACTTCTTGTGATTTTTAAATCATTCAGTCAGCAAAAACGTAGAACTTCGTACTTACGTACATCAGCTCAAGTTTCCATACCGAATTGGCACAGAGATGCAATTGTTGATTCTAACCCCATAATGGTAGAGGTAGTAAAATTATAAGCAATAATCTGAAAGATTAGGGTTCAAAGATGTTATCATGGAGTATAATACAGTGAAGTAAATCTGGAAAGAGAAAAAAAGGACATGAAGAATTTGGGAGAACACAAAGAGTGGACTTACCTGCGCCATTGCAAACGATTTTGAGCCATATCATTCAAGGTCTCTAACTATCGGTTGCTATCATCTCGCGAATCACAACCACGTAGTCTACACCTAACAACATGGCTCAGTCCACTTGTCAGTGACTTCATGGATTTGTGCCATGTTTTGGTCTGGCTGCCCCTAGTTTTCTTCCAACCTACTCCTACACCATAAAACATCACTCGTCGAGCAGCCAGTGATTGGACATACGTAACACATGTCCCAGCCATCTCAATTGATGAAGTTTCACTACTTCATCAATCGATTTGCCATCATTACCTAGTACCCGTTTCCTAACAACTGCATTACTTACTCGATAGTCCCAGGATATACGAGCAATGCTTCAAAGACAACTATGATCAAATACTAGTAACCTACGGATATCCTCTACTCTTACCGGCCATGTTTCACTGTCATAAAGTAGGACGGAACGAACTGCTGCGCAGTAAACCCATCCTTTGTTTAGTAGACGGATATCTCGCCTACTCCATAAATGACGCAATTTGGTAAAAGCTAGTCGTGCCTTCTGTATCCTTGCTGGGATTTCGTCACACACCAGAACACAAAGACTGATGAGACTCCCAAGATAAGTGAAGCGGTCAACATACTCAACTACTTCACTCCCTATCATTAGTTCGGGTGTCGATGCGACCCAATCCTGAATCAACATTTTACATTTCGAGTGGGAGAACCGCATCCCGAACATGCTTGCATTGTTGCTTAGAGTGGTCAGAAGACTGCATTTTGTCAGCATCTTCACCAAATAAAACTATGTCGTCAGCATATTCTAAGTCAACAGGTAAACCTCCCGGTAGAAGTTCAACTTCTGTAAATTTAGATGAGGAGAGTGTTATCTCTAAAAGTACGTCAATGACAAAGCTGAACAAGAATGGGGAGAGTGGACAGCCCTGACGAACACCACTTGAGATAATCAATTCTGATGACAGTTCGCCATAAGCTCTCACTCTACCAGTTGTGTTCGAGTAGAGAGCCTTTACAAGGTTAATGTACTTCTTTGGTACTCCTTTCAGTAACAAACACTGCCATAGAACCTCATGACCAGCAGATTTAAATCTCGTCTTAAGGTCGAGAAATACTACTATTGTGGGACGTCTGAACGTGTGTCTATGTTCTAGGACCTGACGTAGTGTGAGTATCTGATCTATACAGCCACGTCCAGGTCGAAAACCAGCCTGGTTTTCTCTAGTCTGCTCTTCACGAGCTTTGGTTAGGCGTCGAAGTATTATTGAAGCTAATATTTTAGACACTATATTAGTCAACCTGATTCCTCTATGATTGTCTCAAGAGGACTTTTGTCCTTTCTTAATAACTGGCACAATCAGTGGTTGAGGCCAGTCAGATGGGATTACGTCCAGTTCCCAGATTCTACCTAGGACCTCAGTCAATCTCGCTACTAATACTGGACCGCCATCCTTAAAAATCTCAGGGGTAAACCTGTAAGAACCTGCTTCTCTCCCTCGCTTCAGATTTCTTATAGCTTTTCCAACTTCGTAAGGAGTTGAAGGACTTACATTAACTTGCCATTCAGGTCGACTGGGGATCGTGGGAAACCGAAGTGCGACTAAAGGCCAGTTGAACTGATCCCTAATGTGTTCTACCCATCGATCCAATCTCCTGTATTGAGAGTGAATAATATGTCCATCTTTTCCCGAGATAGTTTCATTAACAGCTGGATTCCTGGTGCCGGTTTCCTTAACAAGTCTGAACAGTTGTCTGCTATTACCTATTGCCGCTGCCTTTTCTATCTCTCTTGCTTTCGCTACCCACCACTGTTCGCGATTATTGCGTAGGCTTCTTGTCAGCCTGCACATAAGCTGACTCCGCTCTTCGTCATATTCGGAGCCAGATGAGATGAGTTTTCGAGCATCTATCAATGCGGTAGACGCTGTTGAGATCCAGCATTTATCCCGCACCTTATGGTTTACCTTACTAACAGATATCACTGCTGTTTTCACAGCTTTTCGGATATCATTCCACGCTACCTCGGCGTGGATATCATTTACATGGCTGCCTGTTTTTCTAGTATGATTTTTAAATACACATATGTAAGAAATATAGTCATTGATTTTCACAACGGGACTTTTTCATTTAAAGCTATGCAAACTATTTATTACTTTCATTTACTGGGTACCATGTAACAGGTGCATCCGGGCAAGGTGGAATTTTTACAGATGCTATCCTTCAACAAATGATTAAAAATTCTGAACGACCAATTATATTTTCACTGAGCAATCCAACTTCGAAATCTGAATGCACCGCTGAAAGAGCATATAGAATTACAGAGGTAAGATTGCTACCCCAAATGTGTGTATTATATTTTTATAAACGTGAAAAAACATCGTTTTCTTGTATCTAGTATCACATAACATTTGACAGAAGTGATAGGAGTCTAGGAATTGTTATTATTCTGAGCTAGTGATTAAATTTGTAAGCTTTTAGCGTTTACTAAAAGTTTTACTGCACCTTTCAATCTCTGTCCCTTAAGTTCGAAGGAAATAGAAAGTTTACACCAATAATGATTCTCTTGGCTTATTGATCCAGTTTTGCTCCATTATAAGAAATTAAGAATTAGTTACACCACTTTCTTTTCGACTAATAAGGTACTATTGTTATATCTTACAATTGTCTTTTGTCAAGACATGGCTCAGAATCGTTCACAATAGTTCAGACGCGTTAATTCTTTATCTCCCTCTCGATCTCGAATTCTAGTATTCTTCCACACACCTTTCCGTTCTGTCTTCTCAAACTACATTCTCAGGGTATGGTCTTTCTTTTTATTATTGCTACTACTTTATTTAACTCCGCCTGTATATCTAGGGTTAGTGCCGGTCACAAGCCCGGGTAAAGGAGAAGGGTTAAGCATGGTGTCAGCAACCCCATCACGTAGAAAATAACTGTTGGGGAGATCCGGAAAATTCCTCGAAAAAAGCCAGAAAGGGCTCTGAAAAGACTAAGAAACATCTTATCCAATCAATAAAAGTTTTGCCAGAAACATATAAAAAGTGAAAGGTCGCATGTCGCGCTCCTGATCCGATGACTACCTATACTGCTACTGTGTTTAGTAGCGTTCCAGAATTTTCCGGAAACCCAAGGTCATCTAAAATGCTATAAAAACCCTACATTTTCTGTACATAAACGGAACTTTGAAATAAAGAGTTTCTTCTATATTTTGCGCGTTTTCTCTCGTGTTCAGGTCGCTGTATTAATTTAGCCTGAGGGTTACTAGAAGAGCTTAGGAACCGAATCTAAGGGAATCACATTGAATGTTGTGCACCAAACAATGATAGACTGGATGCAACTAGACGATCTGGACTTCTCAGATGACCTAGCTCTTCTTCCCCTTTACACACGAACAAATGCAGGTCAAGACCGCTGGTGCAGCAGAAGCCTCTGCACCAGTAGGCCTCAACATACACAAGGGGAGAACAAAAATTTTCAAATACAACACACAATGCCAACTCAATCACACTTGATGAAGAAACTTTGGAAGAGCTGGGAACTTTCACGTACCTAGTCAGCATCATCGATGAACAAGGAGGATCTGATGTTGACGTAACGGCATGGTTTGGTAAAGTAAGGGCAGCATTCCCACAGTTGAAGAACATATGGAACTCAAAACAACTGTCAGCCAATATCAAAGTCAGAATCTTTAATACGAACGTCAAGAAAGTTCTGTTGTACAGATTTGAAACTTGAAGAACTACCACAACATCATCGAAAATGTACAAGTATTTATAAACAGTTTTCTATGCAAGATACTCAATGTTCGTTGGCCGAATCTCATCAGCAACAACCTACTTTGGGAGGCAACAAACCAGCTGCCAATGGAAGAGGAAATTATGAAAAGACGCTGGAAGTGGATAGGAAACACATTGAGACAATCATCGAACTGCATCACGAAGCAAGCACTAACTTGGAATTCTGAAGGGAAACGGGAAAGTGGAAGGTCAAAGAACACACTGTGTCGAGACTCGGAAGCAGACATCGATAAGATGAATGGCAAC